GGGGGTGGGGTGGGGGTGGGGTGGGGGTCAGGGAGCTCAGAAAAGGAGGAAGACTGACACAAGTGACAATAAAACTATGTATAATAATAATAATTACTGGTATTATAGAATGCCCACTGGGGAGCGGGACAGAGGTGCCCACCGCGTGACTCGACAGAGCTGAGGAATGTAGGGCGAACATGATCCAAACAAACTACACTTTAACCAGTTGTGGTAGCCATCTCCAATTGGGGCTATGGCAACACTTAGATGAGTGACTTACCAAAAAAGGTTATAAGAGTGAAGAAACATATTTTTTAAACTTATTTATTCATGTATTTATTCACATGTAAAATATTTTCCTGTGTGTTTACTCTAAGACTAACAGCTAATTTCAAAACCCAAAATGCTGCACATTTTGTTGTTATTACTAAAATAAAAGCGCCAGATGATAGAATTGAAATCGGGGGAAAAAAATCAGTTTTCACCAGATTTGAGCTTTAAAACGTATTTAGGCGAAGATCAAGGCCTTAGCTGGGCAAGGACAAAGAGGTTCTATTCAGTAGCCACGTAGAGTTCGTGGAAGTGATGTCCCCCATGTAAACGAACGGGGGCTGCGTGTGCAGTGTGCCCACTCTGGGACGCTGAATTTAAAAGGCAAGACAAGCGCAGTTCAACAGACGGGTAAGTACTTTTTGATACTCACGTGGAGGCGTCTCAGTGGTCTCAGGAGGAAATCTACTGAAATAATTATGGGGGCAGGGTGGTGTTTAGAATACTACTTGGTCAATTTAGTGTTTTAGTTTTTTTAAGGCACATTTAGAAGGTTTTGTTGTTTGGTTTGTTATACTTACAACAATAATATAAAATCGGTTAAAGAATTGTGTCAATCTTTTGTTTAAAGTTATAAACAAAAACAAAATAAAAATAAATGCGAATGCGAAAATGATGACTAACGAAGTTTAATATATAGTAGGCCTAGAACTAGAACAGTATAGACGTTCTTGAAAATCTGGTTAATATAAGGCAGATAAAAAATTTCGCTACCTCATAATTATGACTTTATGCAGTTGCGAGCGCCGTAAAACTCTTACTAAAACTTTTTTTTTTTTCATTTAGGTTTCTTTCGTCCCATGTTTAAAAAATTTAGTAGTTTCTTATTAAAAATCTGGATGGTAACGCTGGTTTCCGGTTTCGTTTTCTTCCCGCGTAAAACCGATGTTGACAAGTGACAAGTACAAGAAGCGAAACGCTGACTGATGCTGTTTTGGGCTGTTTTCTTCGCTTTAAACATTAAGAATGGGTAAAAGAGAGTGAATTTGCCTTGTTGATAACTATATAGATCTAGATCTAGATCTGCCTTGTATATATGCACGTACACAAACAATTTTGGACGTCTTTTATCCTAGGCTCTAGATCTACGTGATAATTATTATTAGATTTTCTAGATTCTAGATCTAGAAAGTATAGATCTAGATCTAGATTCTAGATCACAGAAGGATATAAAACCACATGAAGTACTATTTTAAAGCCATTTATGACCTTGTAATACATTTTTTTTAAACAAACCATTAGGCATGCTGTTGGCCTACTTTTCTTTATAATATGAAATTCCAATATGGCGGTCGTTACCATGGCAACATAAGTGGATTGTTAAAATTTCACAGTATGACCAGATTCATCATTCTTTTTATATTACATGTAATGCCATCACACAAATAAGCAATCTCAGTTTTTATCTCTAAAAGAATTCTTAGATCCTCCTCTCCCCCAATCGTGCCTTAAAAGTTATTGCAGTATTGATCTAGATCTAGGCCCTAGATTTCTAGATCTTATCGGTTTCGATAATTCAAGACCTTTTGTTATAATACATCAATACACAGAGGGTATTCGGATATTCCACTATCGCATAGGTAGGCCTCCCCCCCCCCCCTCCCCCAGTGCAGTGCTAATGACTGAAGTGTGTTTACTCTTTACGCTATTCCCCAATTCCCAAAGGGGGGATATTAACATGTTCTTATGCACAGCAGATTTGTAAATGGGCTGATTTATCAATACAATATCATGCTCATACTGTGCCGGAACAGCATAGGATCATAGGTGAACTGTAGCTTTTTCTTTCCTCATCCTCACTATCGTCATTTTTCCTCACTCTAAGCTAAGTATTCTTTTGTATGTTTGTCACTCTCTTGTGAACTGTTATTTCAGGGGTGCTTTAATGATAGTCGAAGCAGACTTTGTGCTGTTGAGGCTAGATCTAGATCTAGATCTAGATGTAAGCCTGACTCCCCGTTTAGACTTCTCTGTTGGCATCCACCCCCGGCGCTCATATGACCATATTATGCCTTACTCTAGCTAAGGTATAAAAAAGCGCACCTCCCCCCAACCGCTTATTAATTTTCAGTGATTTTTTTTTTGCGCACCCCCCCCCCCCCCCCCCCGAATAATTTTCAGCGCCCCCCCCCCCCCTTCTGCTCATTATTCCATACCCCCCGTTTAGTATTTCCCAGCTTGTCACAACCGATGATCATGTGAAACATATCTATGTTTTTTAAAAGAAACTGGTTTGTTCCTAAAGGGGAAAAGTTGTCACAGCCTAACTTACTAAAACCATTACAATTTCATGATCTCTTGTTCTTTTCTTCATTGAAGGATAAATAAAACAGATTTGTTCCTACTAGTACAGGTGTATGAGGTTGAATGTGCCCCCCCTCCCACCTTAAAAACAATTTCAACCACCCTCCCCCCCTTTATTAATTTTAGACCACTTGTCCACCCATCCCCCTTTTTATTCCTACCCCCTCCACTAAAACTAAAGACAGGTGCCACAAGAGAATCACAAAAAAGGAGGAAAGAACCGGGCGATTAAGAAAGAAAGGAGCTAAGCCACACAAGAGCACCCACCTACCACCTGCAGTAAGAGTTTTTATTTACGGCACTCTACAACACAAACAATAAATGATGTTAAATGTTACTATAAGAGACTTATTTATTGAAACCTACAGGAATTAGACTAACCGTGTAACACCACACACACTAAACATACGGTAAACACCCTACACACTGAACATTACCGTAAACACCTCACACGGATTCTCACATTCATAATATGTTTGTTTTTTTCTTCTCAGGTTTGTAAACAGACGACAACATGCTAGATATTTATATATTTTTATACGTGTGTGGGAAGAACAATGAGTGTGGAGGGTGCCTAGATCTATATACATGGTAAGAAATCACGTCTCTTAATCTTACATTTGATTGATTTTGTGGGTGTTTGCATGGCGGCTGCCCTCACGTGGTCTGGCCCTTCTTTTACAGACCGAAGGGCTAGAACCTAGGCCTCCCGATTAGGGTAACTGGGGGCCTAGGCTAAAACCTAAATGGCTCCTGGATCGGAAAAGTAAAGTAAAGGAAGTAAAGTCCTTCTCTTCTATTAATAAACGTGTTGTTAATCAATATTGCGTAGTGAAATCAGGCGCTCGTCAAAATAAAGACAGTGAAGAAACTTGCGTTTTCCCTCAGGTTTGGGGAATTTTTATTGAAGTTTCATTTTTTGGCTCAACAAATTTAATGGCCATTAAAGAACACATATCTGTGTGGATTTTTACTGAAAAACGTTTTTTAAAAAAAACTAGTAGAGGGTTTTACGGGGCTCGCAACTGAATAAGGTCATATGAGCGCCAAGGGGTGCATGTCAACAGAGAATCGAAGTCTTTACAGGGAATCAGACTTACTCTGCTCACCTCTCTAGCTTCAACTGCACAAAGCCTGCTTCGACTGTCAAGGCACCCCGGAAATAGCAGGTCACAAGAGAGTGACAAACATACAAAAGAAGTAGAGGGAAATGACAATAGTAACGAATAGGAAAGAAAAAGCAGCAGTTCCCTGTTGTAGTTCAGGCACAGTTATGAACGTGACATTGCTAGATCAGCTCATTTACAATTCTACTGTGCTTGAACGAGAAAAGTCCCCCCTTTTGGGAATGGCCTAAAGACACAAGTCAGTGGCACTGCCCCAGGGGGAATGAAAAACGTAGAGTAAAGGCATAATCAATGTAACTTTCCTGTTTCCTCGGACTCTCAAGCTAAGATCAAATAACTCAACTTTTGCTGCCATTTTCTCGCTAATTTTACCCCTGAAACCATGCGACTGGCGACCCCCCTCCTCCTTCAATCGCCTAATATCTTGACTTGTATCCAAGTTGAATTTAAAATATTTTAAAATATCAAAACCAACGCAAATAGACTGAGGGCTTTATTAAGATGGTAGCAATAACCTCAGAATATGCCCCAAAATTGACGAGCGCTTGATTCCACCGCGTCGTGTAATTTACGGTCCTCCTTATCTCTCCTCGTCCTTTCCTTTGTTTTGCTATATTCCGGGAACACACCCTGTCGTCAGCGCCTGCATTACCTAGATCTATTTGTGCTGCAAGTGTCCTCAAATTCTTTTAAAGGTCAAAACGGTTTTGTAACCGGGCCTTACACTTACAGGGCATTGAACTTCAATCTGAATTTGTCTGAAGGCAAAAGTAGCAAATATATCGTTATTTTTATTATTATATGTTTATGTATGTGTGCCTGCTGCATTTATTTTATTATTTTTATTTTGGCGTGCTTTTTTTCTAGATCAACAACACTAGCCTAATAAAATCAAAACCAACACACCAAGACAAAACACACTTTAAAAAATTATATAATATAATATATATAGATCTATTTTTCTCTGCATGTTGTTGCTGGATCTAGGTCCGCCTTTGGAGTTGACCCAACGTTGCAAGAGTTGAGCTGTATTACAGGAGCCCAGACTGCCACCAGACTCCCGACCTCATTTTATCTCTTCCTGCTTTCTCCTCACAATATTATTTTGTTTCGTTTATTCTTTTCCTTTCCTGGCAAAGGATAAATCGAAGTCCGAAGCTTTGTTTCAGATTTAACGAGCAGTTTTTTTCAGTGCTCCTACTACCACTCGCCTCAGCCCAATCATTCGTGAGCGAGACATTTCTATTGACAAGCTGTCAGTTTTGACGGCTCATGTCAATCACCAATCAAAACCGTCAAATCTTTCACCCTGCAGCCTTTTACAGCACATTAAAATGGGTTACTGTGTCAGAAGCTCTTTGCGCATGACACTTGCGCATGGAAGTAGCAGAATGCACGGATTTGATTGGTCGAAGCGTGCATAGATTTCCTAATTATGTATGCAAGCCGCCATTAGCTGTGAGTGGCAGAGACACTGTTCCCTCCCAGATTGCGGGGTGAAAAATTGTTTATGTTATGAGGATCACATGTATCAACGTCATCAGTTGAAAGTTGCTCAATAGTTCTGTGCATTGTTTGTTTTAATGCTGTTTCAGTTCTAGACCATCTCTGTGAAGCGTACCCTCTGTGGGATACGCGCAGCGGAGTGAAACGACTCGGTACTTTCTTTCTTGGAGAGGCAGTCGAGGGCGTTCACAATTGAATTCAAGATGGACGATCAACAAAGACTCATGCACCCATCGCAGGGTCAAGTCAGCATGGCTGGCGTGATGCCTCAGCAAGGTTATGACGGTTCCTTAACGCAGGGGGATCCTGGAGACCAACGGAAACAAGAAATTGGAGATGTTCTGCAACAAATCATGACAATCACAGACCAGAGTTTGGACGAAGCCCAAGCGAGGTAATTTACTCTACTAAAAACATCATGTACAGTAAAGTTGACTCGGCTCTGTCTTTGACTCACCACTGCCGACACTGCACCCTTTGCGCACAGCCCACACTTTTATTATCAATTGTTATGTTGGCCACCCTTTTCTGAGCAGCTCTGTATAAAAGATAAAGCCGTAGTTGTGTAGAAGTCAAGAGCTGTCTTATGATGACCAAAATAGAATGTTGTGACCGGCTCTATTTCTCCGAACGCTCGGGAAAAATTAAACTTAACGAAGTGTATACAGACCCGGTAACCGGGAACAAAGTCACGAAGTATACAGACCCGGTAGGGGAACTCTTTTGTGATTTCGGGAAGTTTCAGCGCCCAGACCCGGTAGAAATCTAGTGTGTGTGTGTGTGAAAGAGAGAGAGAGGTGCTAGCAAAATGTAATGACATGCCCCAGTTGGCAGGAGGGAACGAGAGAAAAATAGAGTGTAAAATAGGTGGGGACAAAGGAAGACAGAGACAAACAAAGAAAAAGAGAAGGCGAACGATACACAGAGAGAGAGAGAGAGAAATAGAGAGGGTGACTGCTCGATTGAAATTATGACATTGTTCTTTTCTTCAAATTGTGTCTTGCGATTCCTCCAACTCCAAAACGGAGGAAAAACAATCGTTCATCGAAAAGACATCCGCAATCTTCATTTAGATCTAGCCGCGAAACTAGATCAAAGATTTATGTCTGTCTGTCTAGATCTAGTAGGCCACAGATCTAGAAGAACCTAGATCTAGGTCTACCCTGAGCCAAGAGGGTGCAGAAACTCTCTGAAATCACAAAAGAGTTCCCCTACCGGGTCTGTATACTTCGTGACTTTGTTCCCGGTTACCGGGTCTGTATACACTCTCTAAACTTAAACTCTAATTCTCCGAACAGTTTGCGTTCTCGGGATTATTTGGGGATGATTGACGAATACCTGACCACTCACGATCGTATTAGATTTTCTATTGCGCGAGAATAGGGGGCGGAGGAAAGGATTGTGGGGGGGTTCAG